GAGGTTAACCACTTTACTGGAAAATTTTGCTTCACTAACAAAACCTGAGGATTGTGAAAGTCAGAAAACATCAAGATGCACCTTTATACTCTACTCAAAGAAAGCAAGAACACAAATATTTTCATATAGGAAACATTAAGTTGATAATTTCTTTCCTTATCTGACAAAAAATAGTTTTCATTTACAAGTTGAAATAAACAACCTGGATACTAAAGTTTTCCTCAAGTAAAAAGAGTGCACTGAAGGTGCACTATCACTGGATAGAAACAATTAAAGGGAATGTACTGTCACAGCCAGAACTCTAAACAGTATTTGGAATATTTCAAATCATTGGTTGAATACTAAGATACTGCTATATTTTCTAGCATTTCTCATAATATGTATATATGTGGTAGCACTATTATTTTGGTTCTCCATGTCAAAACATCACAGCATGAGCAAACATTTACTGTAAGATTTCTTAAAATACTTTTTAGTTTAAAAAACTTTTTAAAGAGACATCAAAATCTGTCTTAATAACTAATGAATTAAAATTAATTTTAATATCTGGTCAATTAATTTAATGTTATGTTCTACAATCTGTAATATACAACATGTCAAAGGACATTGAGAGGTCATTTAGTCAAACAGATTTAAAATAGATTTATAAAAACGTAAATACCATTCCAGGTTTCTCTAAATCACCGAACTGAGATGGGAAAAAACATTATGAAAGAGATACTGTGGCCAATTGACGTTTGGCCATTTTTGTGTAAAGAGTAGAGGCAAAAAAATTAAATTACTATTTTTCTCTGTCATAACACAAGGTGCAGCATTGACTAAATAAATAGCAAACTTGCCCACTGGGGCTGAAGCCGCCCCTAAAAGAGGAACCAGAGGATGATTGTATTTGCCCAAGGTTTCCAAAATGTCCTGTCTTGTTAGGGAATGCAGTCAAGAGATGCATCTTGAAAACCACATAAGGTTCAGTTTCTCATCAAACGGCCAATAGCACTTCTATATTTTTTTAATGAGGGGATGCACTGATCAGGGCTGACCATTAACATTCCTCTAAATTCCTCTCTCCTCTTCCTTCCAGTTGAAATAATAAACAAGATTTAAATGAGTAAGACTAGATCACCACTTATCTACTGTTCCTAGCAGAAAACATGTCCTTCTTAAGCTGTGTTGAAGCTGATAAGTAGATGGAGGTGGCTTTTTTGGCACAGGAGAAAAGGTGCCAAACCACAGGGTGGATCACAGAGCATGGGGACTTGAACAGGTGGAGTATGAAAATACAGGAGAACGCTATTCTTTCCATCCTGTGAGGACAAGGAACTATCACAGCTGACCTTCCCAAGCAGCTGGGGTGTGAGATAAGAAGTCTGACTCCAAAGCAGGTCTCTTTGTCCACTCTGCAGTCCTGTACTGGGAATAATGGAAATGCCCGTAAGCCACAGAAGTGGGGAGGTGTTTCACCATATGTGTATTCATAGGTAAGAGCGACAAGGTGTTGCAGCTGTTGCAACTGAACCCCATGTTGTCAAGAGTAGTAATAAAATCTCTGCTGAGAAACAGGGAGAGAAAAGAGATTCCAACTTAAAGTACGACTATAAAATTGAACAAAACAAACAAAACCACCTTTACAGCAGCATCACTCTTAAGACTGTGACGCAACATAAAACCTGCAGTTATTTGTACATGCAACTCCACCTGGTTGGTGAGGTTTTCATAAAGATGTAAAGAAGCTTCCTCCTCTGCAGGCTCTTACCTCGCACAGCCACAGGACAAGGGGCAGGCTGCAGCTCTATGAGTTATCAGGGGCTCTGCAATTGAGAGAAGGCACAGCCAAGCCTGCACACAGACTGAGGCAGAATAAAGCCACCCAATACTCCTCTTCTGCCATCCACCTCCCCAGCTCTGCAACAGCACAAGTGACAGGTCATTCCCACTGAAGCTGTGATCTGGGAGCAGTTAAGGTGCTGTCCATCTGCTTCCTTGGACATCCCTGCCAGGGAGACCAAGTGCTGTTGCCTATCCCAACACAAACTATGGCTTCCAGTTAATGCATACACAGCTACACCACAGCACCTGCAAGACACTTTTAAAAGGTATGAAGAAGATGAAAACGCACACATTAACTGAACACCTTTAAAAATACTTGGGCATTGCCAAAATCACCTGTAGCAGAAACTACTGCGGGATGAGAACAGCAGAGAGAACTGTACACTGATGCAAGAGAGGCATCCTTCTGGCAAGGCCTAAGAGCAAAGGTGACAAATACCAATACAAGCCTGTCTGGTTTCATTTGCTACGCCCACTTGGCTACACAGAGAAAGCTTTGTGGATGAGCAACACTAGTAGATCACTCATTCGGGCTAAGAGCAAGGGAGCCTCTTGTAGCTCCCCTTCCCACCACTGGAGAAGTATTTGCAGAATGTGAACTTCCAGCTACAGCTGTAAGGAAAGCATGCCATGGCCTTAAGGTAAGAGATTAAACAGACTGAGACTAGCTGAAAAAGGAGGATGCAGAACAGGAGAGATCTGTCATAAGTGGCAAAGAGAAGCAAACAGAATTAAGAGGCTGCTCACTGCTTCTCATGGCCCAAAGACAAGGCACACAAAAAGTTACAGAACAAACTTCAAAGGGAAGTAATTAAGTGAAGAAAAGAAAAAAAAAGCCATTTTGTACAAAACTACTTAGAGAAACTCCATGCTACAGGGTATTGCAGAGGTTGAAAAGCAAGCAGATTGAAGAAAATTAGGCAACTGGAGAACAAGGACTATTAAACACAACATGTCATGCCAATCTGCTGGAAATCCTCAAGCCAAAATTTTACAAGAAACAGAGTCTATAAGACCTTTATAATGCTTTCTTTCCCTAGTTTTCCACTGTTGACCATTATCAGATACAGCCATTGGCCTAATGCAATAAGGGAGCTCATCTGAAACCAGACATACTCATAACTCCTAATTCATCTCTGTGGGATGGATTTTATTGTTTTTTTAATATATCACTCCCTAACTTGACCTCTGTGGGCTACAGATCAGATAGGTGGTCTATGGGGCCATGACAAATACTGAAATGAGTATGTTTATCAGACAATATTTTGATTATGATGAGCACAACTAGCAGAGATTCTGCCAGTTGACATACTGTTGCCCTGAAGAGTTTGTTAATTGCTGTTCACTGTAAAGAGCTATTTTGGTAAAAACTATTAAGTAAAAGATGAGATAATTCTCAGTGTGCTTGAGTTGTTGATTTTTATTTTTTTTTAAAGAGGAACCAAATAAACATGTTGTAAAAATATATGCCACATGCAACTTAGGGCACTATCCATTCAGGATTTTCTTTTGGGTTCTTTCTGAATCTGCAGAGGTTCAATCCCTTTAATAACTAGGCTTCCAACTCCACATCTGAAGTTTAAGAATCAACTACACTTTCATTTTCTTCCATTTTTCCAAATCTGGATAACTAGCACAGCATTCTCATGTGATTCTTACAGGTTTATTATCTCAAACCTTTCCAAGATACACATCTGAAGTTATTCTATCTCTCTCCTCCCTCACAGGGAAATAACCCAAAACCTCCAGCCAGCATTGTACTGCTGCATGCTTGAATTCTGCAAGCTAAACTCTTAAAAACATACTTAAACTACTCAGAAAAATGTAACCGTGCTTAAATTTTGCCTGTAAAGCCCAAACATGACAGTGATCCATCTTATCAGAGCTATTAATTTCCTCTGTCTGAGGTCATACTTTCCAACTGCAATGGCAATGCACAATGCATCACAGAATCAGGTGGGAGGAGAGACTGATACTGGTTTTGTGTAGAAAAGAATTGCTAAGCCCTGACCCCTTGAAGACAAAGAGATGGTGCAAGAGTAGTCAAGGCCAAAGCTCTATTTGCAGAAAATCAATGGGTTATGCACAATAGCAGCTGCACTCAGATGTTCACAGCTCAGCTGGAATCTGTAGATCTGGTCTCTAAATTCAGAGTATCTGACACTGAAAACTAGGGAAAAAAAAAAACCAACACTCCCCTCTCCTCTTTTTTTGTTTTGTTTTAGTTTAAACAGTCAAAGTAGAAGTAAGCTTTGAACGAAAAGTCTTGAAATTGAGATGACTGCATCCTTCTCTTTGCTACTCCTTATGATCTTTGTTAGCCAGCCAAATGGCTCAGCTTAGCTTCACTTTCCACACCACTCCAAAAGTTGAATAAGTAATAAAACTTGTATCAGGAGAGGGCTTTATAATCACGTTAGAGACATGTAAGGGAGACTGGTTACCTCGGTTCACCGGATAGCTTGAACGAGGCTTCATAATGAGGGACAGGTGTTGGCACCAATTAGGAAAACCCAGCTCACCGCTGACATCGGCCCCTCAAAGCACTGACTGCACTTTAATCCTCTAAGCCACATAAAAGAAAAGCAGAGAGTGGGTAGACAAAAAAGAAAAAAAAAGAATCTCTGAAAACGCCTCTGCAGAGGATTGAAATATTTTTGCTTACTTAAGGGAAAAAAATAGAAGTGTCACAAAGCTGCAGAAAGTTCACTATGAAGTGCCTTGAGTACATAAAAGAATCTAAACCTTCTGCACAACTAGACTTCTTAATTTTAGGAAGGGTATCACTGTGTATATTATGCATTCATCACAACTATCAGAATTTATATCCAGAAAAGAAGAACAGAATAAAAGGGAGTAGAAGCAGCACATGTAAATATTGTGGTAAGATAAAATTATTCCATCTATGCCTACCAGCCTTCCAAGTATTATGGGATACATCAAGGTAGATTTTAACTGAGATTATTACACAGGGTTCTGCATGCTGAAATCTTATTGTTAACAGCTTCTTTTATGACTTTCTCCCCTTTAAAAGACTTTAATTTCTTTAAAATTCAAAAAGCTTTCATTTAAAACATGATATGTGAAAGGTGAAGGTATATAGGTTCAATTTACACATTGTAAACGCCAACACACACATTTATTTATTTTTAGGTATCAGTTCCTCCTTCACTTACATGCCAGGTCACGAGGTAGATGTTTTCGCTTCCACTGATGACATCACAAGCTCCTAAAAAAATGAAAGGAGTGCTATTTAGGTAGAAGGAGTGACAACAGGCATTTCAAGTTTGAGCTACAATTTAATTTTTGGCAAGTAAGTGAAGGGTGTATTATCTTTTTATTGCAACTTTCACAACTAAATGACACATCCATAATATAAAGCCTTAAATTCCATAATTCTCACTTTAACATGTGGAAAAACAAAATGTATCAGCTATATGTGCACGTACTACAGTATAAATGCAGTTAAGTACCACAATTAAAAATAAATTTGTAAGAATAACCTCAAAGTTGATTTTGTCACCCTCCTAACCTGAATGGGAACCGACGTTACCAATACCAACAAAATGATATTTTAATTAGTATGTTCTCTATCCTGTTTTGAGAATACAAAAAAACCCCACCAAAACCCAAAACACCAAGCACGTTCAGATAGCTGAGATAGCTGCACACTTATTCAGCTGGCTTAAGGGGTTGATTTCTCCAAATACACTGATGCTTTCGTCATTCAAGAGGGTCTTCTATGAATCAAGCATGCTTATAAATGCATAAGAGGACAAACAAAGTAAGTATAGAGGGAAAGCTCCATGTGGCTCCCCGTTTAATTCTTCACAACATTCCTTCAGACCTCTCCTTGACAATCCCAGATAGCTCAGCTTCCCTGGCAGGGATTCTGCTTACTCACCCTTTTTAATCTAGTCCCAAGACTTGAGCAGTACTAAGTAAGGGAATAGAAGGAATTTTTGCCTCCACCAACTGCCCCATTCCCTTCCTGCAGGATCCAGCACATGTATGTTTTGTGCCCTATTGTAATGTACATGGCAAAAGCATTAAAGTCGTTACACCCAACAGATTAGTTGCAGCTCCTCAGAGATGTCAGCAGCTCGACCAGGGTCTGTCCTAGCAGGCAGTCTGCCCCATGCCTTGGAGTAAAAAGTCAAAAAAACAGGACAGCTATGAGCTGGGGAAGAAAGTATTAGAGAGCAAAAATTCAAGTAAAAACCAAGGAACCGAAAACTGTATACCCTGCCAGAAGAAAAAAAATAAAAAACGGGGGAGATGACGACGTTTTTCTAACCAAAATCAGGCAGTTTCTGGCCAGAGTGTCAGCACCATGCTCTAACATTTGTGCTTCTCCACCCATCTGCAGTAGAAGAAAAGGATACAACCACCCATCCACTGAGGAGTGGCACAGATCCCATTACTTATTACAGCTATTGTTGCTCAACTTAAGCTGTGGCATCAAAGGAAAACATTTCCTTAGAATCTGAGGTAGGGGAGGTGGGGAGGCAGAGGAAGAAGGGGAACACACAATATATTATAGCTCCTGTATGTTGACTGTACAAAATTTTAAAGTTTTGGCTACATTAATTTTCTTTGATTTAGTTTTGTCTTTGGGGCTTTTGTGTTTTTGTGTTTAGTTGGGGTTTTTTGGAGGGGAGGCAGGAAGTCCTTGGTTGGTTTGGGGTTTTTCATTTTGGTTTTTTTTTAAATCATCCTAGGTTCCTCTTCCCATCTCCTTGACACTCTCTGGCTATACCCCACATTAAGCAATTAACTTTGAGCAATGCAAAAAGATCTGTAGATCAAAGCAGTACCAGAGCCAAGGTTGCTGAAACATGAATCATGTTACGTGGGTCGGGTTTTTAACTCGAGATAAGCACTCTGCCACCACCGCCACCACACACAGAGCCTGAAGCAATCAGCAGGGTCCACAAGCAGGAGACGCAGTGCACTAGGCAGGAGCATCGATGGGAGCCTCCAGGCTCCATCCAGAGGGACCCAGCTCATGCGCAGCAGAAAGACAGTGTGCCCAACAGACACACAGGGAGTGGGAGTGACCAGAGGGACTCGATTTAAAGGCCGAACTGCTGCTCTGCCTGGTATTACTCTGGCTGGTACTCTGCCTCTACCCTCCAGCTAAGAAATGCCAAGAGCCTCACCCACAAAATGCACTGGGGGAGGGAGGGCAAGCGAAGAAAATAAGTAAATAATTAATAAATGGCTGGCTAAGTTTTCCAAACATGACTTTGAATAAATTTTTCTTATGAGATGTTTCATTATGGGATAATTCTTTAGTGTTCTAATTGAACCCATTTAATGTATATTTTCCATAGAAACACAAGCAAAGCTCTGGTTGTGGCAGCTCAAATGGCATCATTAAAATGCAACACAGCCTACAACTTTCAAGTGTGAACAAAACCACAGCTTTTGCCTCCCAGCTGAACCACAAAACTAATACATTTTTGAACTCTTCATTAAAAACACATTTATTTGCTCAGTTAAATGCCAAGACAAGCTCTGAAATACTGAAAGGTTAAGATAAAATTTTTTTCCTTCTCTAATCCTTACAGTATACAGTCATAATCTTCAGTCTCAACTTTAGTTATTTCACAAGCATGAAAAAAATACACAAAATAGGATGAAAAGTATAGTTTCCCCCACAAAATACCCTTTCCCCCTTCCTTTTTTGAAAACTAGTCTTAACATGTCAACTGAGAAACATTAAACTAAGTCACCTCAAATTAATGATTGAGGGCTCTTCCCCAGTAGATAAAAAAAAGGAAGAGTGCCCTACAGCCTGGAATGGTGCCAACCTCCCCATGAACAGCAGGGTGAAGAATGCACAGGAGATGCTCACCCTCCCCTCCACACACACTGTGCCAACAGACATCACACTTGCACTGTCCAGGTGCATTTGAAAAAGTAAGGGGTCAGCAACAGAAACTGTGGCAAAAAGAAACAGAAAAACAAACAAATAAAAAACTATAGGAACTAATGAAGAGCGTAGACACAGAAAATAAAACATAGAAATGCACAGTAGCTTTTCATAAATACTGCCTGGAAACTAAGCGTCACCAGGGAAAAAAGCATCAGCAAGACTTATTTCTTAAAATACAACTTTTAACAACAGAAGGCCATTTGGAACACAGATCTATTTTTGCAGTTATCACTACTGTTATACTATCACTCTCTCTGTAATTTACCATAGTACTTACCAACAGTCAAGCCACCAAAACAAGAATTGTGCTGGTTGAAAACAGCACTTCATGTTTTTCTCTTCAACTGTCCCACACACTACACTGCGATTTTAAAAAAACAGAGATGGTCACAGAAAAAAGATGTGCCAGGGTCCTGGAAAAGGGCAGCTAGATAGGGCCAAGAGCTCAGACTGTGCATAACAGAGGCTCTCCACGGGAGCCCCTACCACTCTGTGCAACCCTTACTGCCAGAAAGCTTGTCCCAGTACTTAAAGTACACATCTCCCTCAGTGCAGCTCAAGCCCTTTACCAAGTCTCTCTCTGCACTGGACTCTGAAGAAATCACCCTTTTCTTCTTTCCACAGTTAAGCTTAGTGTTCAAACCTGAGGTTAACTCTTTTGTCAGTACATCCTTGTCATTTCTCCAAACTAAATAAAACCTGGTTCTTTCACCCTCTGCTTAGATGACATGTTTTCTACATTTCTGATTCTTCTAGTTGCTACCCTCCACACAAAACAGTATGAGGTGATGCCCAAATCTGGACAAAGTCTCCCAGTTAAATCCTTCCCTACACGGAAAAGACTATTTTCTTTTTACAGAAAAATATCCTTTACTCTTACATGAGTCTCAGATAATAATCCTACGTATAAACTCCAGTGCATTTGCTTTTGCAACAGGGTGACTCTCTTGCTTCACGACCTGCTGTGAGCAGTGGTTGCTGCTGGGCCCACTGCGCACAGCCTGCAGGAATACAGCCAAAACTTCCAGCCACAGAGCTGCCCCTCCACCCTATCCAACCCCTCCTTCCAGACTCCTTCTCCAATCTGTCAAAGTAACTAAGTTCAAAGCATCTTCTCAAATAGACACGCAGCTCCACCCAGCTTCATCCGAGTATTGAAAGAACAGTCCTCATTCCTTCACCTACATCAATTAATAGCAAGTATTAATTCACCTGTCTTGTTTGAAACCCATTAGCAACTATCCTCTCAGGTTTCTCAGCAGCTGCAAACATTCCTAAGAGCATTTCACGTAATCCATATATCCTTAGCTTGATTCTGATAACATGCTTTGTCTGGTAACTCGCATCATCTACTGAGCAATTCCTACCTCACAAATGACTTTGAAAACTGAATTAGAAAGCTGGTCTTTTGATGCTTCACATCTCCTTCCTCATAAATAATCCCACAGATATAACACTGCTTATGTGGGAAAGGTATTAGAAAATCATTTTATTATTTCCATTTTTTTTTACAGACTGTTTCAGACACCTAACACATACAGACAGCTCCCTGTGGACTACCAGTAACACTAGACAGTGTACCACTACAACCTCTTACAAACAGCAGATCAAAATGTTAATACTATCAAGACAGCATAAGAAAGAAAGCCAGTAGGTTTTGAGATTATAAGTCTAGTATGAAGCAGGAAGATAATGGTACTCTTCCCTTTATAGTTCTGGAAAAAAATCATAATAGGAACAAGTATCCAAATACCAAAACAGTATCCATCATATTTAACTGAAGAGCTATTTCCAGGCAATACTTATCCTACAGGGCCTAGAAGTAGAAAAGAAAAAGTCACTAAGCTTTAAGAAAAGTCTTCTAAAATACTTACTAAGTCTTCATAGCAAACAGTGTTGCATTTTTCCTTGTAATAAACCGGGATTTGTTGCTTCTTCTTCACCAGTTTCTAACAGGTCTAACTACAGTGAGTACTCTGCAGGTTCATGATTTTTACTTCTCTTCCACACTGGCTTAGCCAATAAAGTAATTCAGTATAAATTCACAATGTCATTGTAAAAAATCTAAAGATAGTCCATCTCATCTTCAGATAAGTCTGAGACATGGAAAGCACCCAGTAAATACTGCAACTCTCTAGCACCTTCACAAAAATATTTCATTACACCTTTACACACAACAAACCTACTCTTAATAATAGCAGTGATTTAGTAATTCCCAGCAACCAATTAAAACTTGCTGGGAAAACAATTTCCCACAGCAGCTTACCCCACTTTCAGACAAACAATGC